CGAAAATATTTGATTTACAAATAAGGAATCCTACTTCGCGGAATTTCATTTATCACGGTAGGGTCTAGAACCAATTAACCGCGATAAACAAGGGTTCACTGTACCTTAGAGAGGAGCGTATATTTATGTCTTGGTCTGCCTGTCTTGGTCTGGGTCTACAAGACAGCCTGTTCTGAGTCCATACTGATGGTGGGAGTGAGAGTGAAGCACTCCCAAGCTGTCATGTTGAATGGGGGGAACTTCGTTTGATATATTGCCAGAAGAAGAGCCTCCTGAAGTTGAAGGACACTCAAAATATAACTGCCTCTTAAAGTAGAGTTGACTTTAATGCCTTTGATGGAGTAAAGCTCTTGGGATCCAGATTTGCTGGTGTGATGTGGCACTGTTCAAAAGGAGAATAAACTGCTGTAAACATTAATTAATAATGGGACTCTGGAATGTATAAAGAATAAATCTAGGAAATTGGAAGGTGTCAAAAATGAAATGGAATGCTTGAAGATCAATATTCTAAAATTAGTGAGCTGAAATGGTTCAGTACCAGTCATTTTGAATAACACAATCATAGTCTATTATGCCAAATTTGAAAAATTCTAGAGGAAGTGCATCACATTAATGACAGAAAGAGCATTTTCAAGATCTACCGTGAAGTACAATGCTGTTGGTGGGAAAATAATGTCCATGTTAATTAACATGACTGCTCTCCAAATTTACACACCAACTATTGATGCCAAAGATGAAGACATTTTCCAACTATTGTGTTATGACACTCATTAAACATGCAACCAAGATGCATTAATAATTATTGGTGATTGGAATGTCAGAGTTTGAAATGAAGAGGAAAGGTCAGTAATTGAGAAATAGAGCCTCACATAATAGAATTCTGTAAAACCAATGACTTATTATTGCAAATACCATTTTTCTCCCCAACATACTAATAGCAACTATAGACATAAAGTTTGTTGGGTGAGATACACAGAATGGAATCCACTGCACCTATGTAAAGAGACAATGGAGAAGCTTGATATCATCAGTCAGAAGAAGAAGACCAAGTGTTGACCGCAGAGCCAACAATCAACTGCTCATAGGCTCATGTGGAATGTGTGCACAGACTGATAGGTAGTCACTCAAACAGAACAAGAGGTTTGAAATCAGGAAAGATGAGAGTTAGTGCTGTATCCTTTGACCATACTTAACGTACTTATTGAATTTGTGTGCTGAGCAAATTGAGAAGCTGGATTATATGAAGAAGAAAGCAGCATCGGGGTTAGAAAAAGACACATTAATAAATGGCAATATTCAGATGACACAGCTTTGCTTTGTGAACGTGAAGGGTCTTGAAGTATTTAAATTGATGAAGATCAAACTCCAGATTTCAGTATGGATTACACCTGAACAGAAAGAAAACCAAGATCAATACAATGGATCAATAAAAACCAACTGGATAAAGGAGAATGGATTGAAGTTGTCAACAATTTTATTGTACTTGGATCCACAATTTACATTCATGGAAACAGCAGTCAAGAAATCAACGGAGGTATTTTATTGGGCAAGTGTGCTAAACAAGATCTCTTTCAAATGATAAGGAGCATGTATGGCACTTTGAGGAATAAGCTGTGTGGACTCAAGCCCTGGTGGTGTAGTAGTTATGAGTTGGGCTGTGATTGCAGGGTTAGAAGTTTGCAACCACCAACAGCTCCAGGGGAGAAAGACTGGGCCTTCTACTCCCCTAAACAGTTATAGTTTCGGCAATCCACAGGTGGTCATGATGAGTCATCATTGGCTCAGTGGCAGTGAGTTTGTTTTTTTGTTTTTTTTGACCCAAGCCATAGTATTTTTCAATCACTTCATATGCATGTGAAAGCTGGACAATGAATTAAAAACATCAGCAAAACCTTGATGTCTCTAGTTTAGGTTGGAATGTACTCAATGGTGCCTACACATATGGGATGCAGTAGACAGAGTTCATTATGAATTGGAAAGATGAGCGTACATTTCAATTTGTTAAACCATCAAGAAGAAGAAGACCTTCAAGCAAAAGAATTGACAAAGTGGCTGCAATTATGGTCTCAAACATATGTACTATTATGAGGGCGTCAGAGGGCTGGGATTTAAAATTTTTATTATACGAGTATTACATATACTCTTAACAACAGCAATAATATTATCAAAGCTGATTTAAATGAAGTTTTCTGATTCAGGAGAAAGTTATTAACTTACCTCTTTTATTCCCCAGATTGAAAGAATTGATCAACTTTTTGTTGCTGGTGGCCTCCGCCACCTTATGTTTTACTATCAGGATGTGGAGGTCGCTGAACCAGGTATCTGACTTTGATGTGACGTAACTCAGGAAGGGGTATTCAGAGTGACCCTAGAGAGGCATGAAGCAGAAGGCTACTGTGAAAACTAACCAGACTGCTTACATTTCCTTGTCAGGGGAGGTGGGGAGCAGGGACCTGCAGTGAGTGTGGTTTTTAAGAGTGGGTAGTGGGTTACACATTGAGCTGTAAACTATAACATCAGCAGTTCTAACCCACTGGCTGCTATAGGGAGAAAGATGAGGCTGTCTACTCCTGTAAAGATTTCAAGTCTCAGAAATCAAAAGGGGTAGTTCTGCTTTGCCCTATAGGGTCACTATGATTTGTAATCGATTTAATGGCAGTGAGTTTGAGAGTTAGAAGCAGCCAGATAATGGATTAACTTTTTAGCCTAACTTTATTTGGGATATTTTGTTTACCTTATCACGCTTTGCTGGTGAAGTGGTTTATGTTCTGAGGCTTCCTTTTATTGCACACTAGTTTGTTCTCTGTAATTATGTTCTAGAGTCTCTTATGGGCATCTGCTTCATGTCTCTATAGGCATTATTTCTTTTTAACGTAGGAATTATTGCCAATAAGCTGAAGTCTGCTTTTTCAGTTAAATACCCCAGTATGTATATCTTTTTGACTGACTGTGATTTAAATTAGTGATATTTCATAACAGGCTTATTCGTTTTCACTTAAACATTTGCATATCTTTGCGTGGGTTCAATTGGCGTCTCCCACTCTACATTAAATGAGTTAATATAATTTTAAAGCCTAAGTTAGGGATATAAACAGATACATTCTGATTGTGTTCAAATATCATATGCATCCTTTTATGACTCATTTGAAAATAAGGAAATTGTGATTGTTCTTGGAAGATATCCTGACAATACTTTTTTCAGGGGGGTTTCTTTAAAAACTGAGGAAATTATGTATGCATATTGGAAATGAACTGGCATCTCCCCAAAGTTACCAGTTTGATATGAACTGGGAGGAAGCATTTAGCTTTAGATCACTTTAGGGTTCAGATTAGTGGTTGTCCAACTTATTGACCCATCTGGGGCAAAGGGACACAATTTTAACAGTGAAGCTTCTTTTTAAGAGGCGATCAAAGTATCTCAGAATAGCATTCATGAAACGAAAATCTTTTGCATTTGTAGGACAAGTTGGCCCTTCGGGAGGGGTAAATCTTGTTTCTGGAAAGACGAAAAAACCCAAGGTGTTCGTGACTGAGGGAAAAGATGTTGCTCTTACAGGAGTCTGTGTGTTCTTCATCAGGACTGACCCTTCCAAAGCCATCACCCCAGAGAACATCCATCGGGTAAGGGACAAGATCAACTGTTTACACGGAATTTCCCCAAATTACATTGTACCCAAAGCAACTTATACAGAAAGTTCTCTCTCACAGTGGAGATAATGCATTGTGTGAATTATAATATCTGAAAACATTTGCACAGAAGTATGTATACAAGGGGTCCTTCAAAGAACTCCTGGAAAATTTCCAGTTTTTAATTCCAGTTTTCCATGAGGTTTTGGAAATCCTCTTTTGTGTCTTTATCCATGTGATTGTTACATGCTGGTTCTGACTCATAGAAACCCTACACACAACCGAAGGAAACACTACCTGGTCCTGCCCCATCCTCAAAATCGTTCTTATGTTTGAAACCATTGTTGCAGCCGCTGTGTCTATCTTGTCGAGGATACTCCCCCTTTTTACTGCATCTCTACTTTTTTGAAGTATGATGACCTTCTCCAGGCCCTTGGTTTTCCTGACAGCATGTCCAAAGCACCCGAGGGTCCCCATCCTTGCCTCGAAGGAACTGTCTCTATACCTCCTCATATTAGTATTGGAAACAAACAAGACATTCACTTTAAATCTGTTGAAAAACAAGAATTAGTATTTAATTTATTAACTCAAATTAACATAGCCCTATATATGAGTTAATAATGTGTAGGGGGATCTTTTCAAGAGAATTCTCCATACACAATTTGCCTTTTGGTATATTTCATAGACCTCAAGCAGGGTTCCTAATATTGAGGGATCGCTTCATTCATTTATTGTGCAAAGTGTAGCACATCTGCACGCTTGCCCCCTGCCCCCTGTTTGATCAGAGCAAATACACTGGCAAATAAGCGACTTTCATCTTGACACTTGCCCCTTTGAGGGCGACGAGATTTATTTTGTAGCCAGTAATAACTGCTTGATCAGTGATGAATTCATATGCAGAAGTGACTTAGTAGCCATGTTGGGGGTTAAGGTAGTTTTTGTTGTAAAGGCCTTCTAATTGCTTCCCAGGACCTGAGCTTTAACATGCTGGACACCGCTGATGGGGGCCTGCTAAACAGCATGAGACGTTTGCTCTCAGACATCTTCATTCCTGCCCTCAGAGCCACGGACCATGGCTGGGGCGGGTGTGACAGTCTTCAGGAGGCATCTAGCATCCGGCAGGACTTTTTGTGCTCTCTGGAAAACTTTGTGAGCGTTCTATCAGGGGCTCAAGAGAGTCTGAAAGAGAAGGTAAGAAGGAATAAATATCATGAACCACATATGCTGTTTCTCTTCTTGGATGCACCTCAGATGATTTCGACTCATCGCGAACCCCCATGATAGTCGGACTGCCTGAGGATTTTCTAGGCTGTAGATTTTGCAGGAGGAGATTGACAGGTCTTTCTCCACGGAGCCCCTCAGTGGAATGGAACTGCCACCCTTCTACTGAATGGTTGAGTTTACCTGGTGTACCTCTGGAGCGCCTTAATGACTTCTCCTGTTGTTGTTGTCAGGTGCCACCGAGTTGTTTCTAGCATGTAGCACAGAACAAACCCTGCCCTGCCCTGCACCTTGCTCCCGATTGCCCCTGAGCTTGAATCCAGGGTTGCAGGCAAGGGGTCAACCTTTCTCCGTGAGGGCCTTCCTTCTTTTCCTCTACTTTACAAAACAGGATGCCTTTCTCGTGGGACTGGTCTCTCCTGACATTGTGCCCAAAGTATGCCAGATGAAGTCGCATCATCCTTGCCTCAAAGGAGCACTCTGGTCATACTTCTTCCAAGACAGACTTGTTTGTCCTTTTAGCAGTCAATGGTACTTTCGTCATTCTCCTCTAGCACCACAATCCAAATGCATCTATGACTTTGCTCTGTTTTTTAATTTAAATATCCAATTTTCATATGCACATGAGGCACTTGAAAATATCATGGCTTGGGTCGGGCCCACCTTAGTCCTTGAAATAACATCCTTGCTTTTTAATACTCTGCACAGGTCTTGTGCAGTGGATTTACCTAATGCAACATGTCATTTGATCTCTCGATCGCTGCTTCCACGAGCATTGATGTTGGTTCCAAGGAAGACAAAATCTTTGACAACTTCCACCTTATCTTCATTTATCATGATGTGACTCATTGGTCCAGTTTTGGTCTTCTTGACAAAATTGTTGTAATGCAGACTGAAAATCCTTGATCTCCATCAGCAAGTGCTGTCAGTCTTCCTCATTTTCAGCAAGCAAGGTGTGTCATCTGCACATTGCAGGCTGTTAATAAACCTTCCTCCAGTCCTGACGCCACATTCTTCTTCATATCAGCCAGCTTCTCTGATGAGTTGCTCAGCATGCAGAGTGAATAAGTGTGGTGAGAGGATGCATCCCTGACACACACCTTTCCTGATTTTAAGCCATGCAATATTCTCTTGTGCTGTTTGCACAACTGCCTCTTGGTCCATGTATAAGCTCTGCAGAGTTCAGTAAAGTGTTTGGAAATTCCTATCCTCTTAGCTGGTTTTCATTTAGCTATCCTGCAAGTCTTGAAAACACGTGTAGACATTTAAAATATCTTTCATTGTGACAGGTGAAGGCTTCCAGAGCAGCCCATCAGTTTCCGTTCAACAATTCCTGCCCATTTTGTTTCACGGCATCCATTTATGAGGGGATCCCTCCAAGGAACCACTGCGTTACCTGCTGTCTCCAGCACTTCCGGTTTCCCTTCCTCTTTGTTTTCTAAACCTCTGTTCTTTGTCCTTGGTAAATGCTGCCCTTTTGATGTTACATGGTTCATTATGCCAATACAGGGGTGAGTTCTGGTGTAGATGTGATGAATGATTAAGGTCCACAGTGTTGGGGGGTCCCATCTGTCTTTATCGGATGAATAAAACTGGCATTAAAAAAAACCAATTTTAAGTTTAGCTCCATATTTTTCTTGCAGTCAGCCTAGAGCCTTCTAATGCGATCCTCTCCAGAGCACTCCTTCGTTAGTTAGGGTGTGGAGACTGATGCGTACATGGCCCATGCACCCATTGGACTAATTGCTATCAGGTGCATTCCATTGACATCGCCTTTCTTACCTCCAGACAGGGAGAACCAGTGTTTTCACCTTAGCTAGCTGGTCATGAGCTTATCAGACAGCCGTCACTCCTCATCAAAATAGGATGTAGAATACTGTCTTTGTGAACTATTTAGATTTGTGAGAATTTTTCTTGTCCTATGAGAACTGAAGGTAATAAGACTGAAGTTTGTAAACTTGTAGTGTTCAAAGTATTGGAAGGTTTCGTAACAGTGCTGATAGTCAGGGATGTGAGGTGTGCGGTCATGTCAGATGTTCGGATCCAAACAGAAGGTGTGAAGTGCTTGTGGTTTTGCTTTGCATCCTAGGGTGAAAGGGATTTGGAAGTGGTGTGTGTGTGTGTGTGTGTGTGTGTGTGGTGGGGAGAGGGACGAAGAGCTTCGAAGACTCACTGGAATGCTGAGTTCAGGTTCTCTGGGGGAGAAAGAGTTTGTGTCATTTTTTTTTTTTTTACAAGAAAAAAAGGAGAAAATCAAGAAAGTACTCAGAGTTCAGGTTGGGCATCTGGTTTACCAGGACGGGGTCCCTACCTGTTAGATTCTGGGTGAGACTGGTTACATTACCTGGGTTTCTATCTCGATGCCATTGATAACATGGAGCTTTGGAGACTCTCTGCTGTCCACCGCAAGTTCTGGCCTCCCCACAGGGTTCTCAGGGGCCAGAGAGGGAGGAAGGCACTGGGTGAAAGGGGCATTCGAATTGGGGGTAATCCCGAGGGGTAGAGTATCTCACATTGGCTAGTTGCTGAGTTAGGGGAGAGGGGGCCAAGTGGGCTCCCTGCTGTGTGGAGCTCCACAGCATTCTCTGGCTGTGCAAAAGCAGGGAGGAAATCCCAGGTATTCCTGGAGTACAGAGCATTCAGGTCTCACATCTGATTTCCCAGAATTCGAGTCCCTCCCTGCCTGTTGGCTTCTGACTTGGGCAAGGAGCGTTCTTGGTAGGAGACTCTCTCTGGGTGCCATCCTTCTGGTATCCTCCATCGACTCTTGTGGAGCTGTCTTAGTTTTCTTCAGCTTTATCCTGAACTTGTTGTTGTCAGGTGCCACTGAGTCAACTCCAGCCCACAGCGACACAATGCACAGCAGGACACAGCACGGCACGGCCCTGCACCATCCTCCCAATTGCTCCTGTGCCTGAGCACAGCCACAGCATGGCCGCTGGGCCAATCCAGCTCCTTGAGGGCCTTCCTATTTTTGTTGCCCTTGAACTTACATACGAGCAATTGATGGTCTGTCCACAGTCAGCCCCTAGTCTGATTTTAGCTGCTGGTTTTACTGAGCGTCTCCACCGTTTCTTCCCACAGACAGTCGAGTGATTTCTGTGTATTCCATTTGGGCAGGTCCATGTGCGTGCATAGTTGCTTTTTGTGTTGTTGAGAAAAGGTATTTGCTATGAACAAGTTGTTGGTTTAGCAAAACTGGATCATGTTCTCACCAGCTTCATTTCTATCACCAAATCCATATTTTCCAACTACTGTTCCTTCCTTTTTGTTTCTAACTTTTGCATTCCAATCACCAGTAATGATCAATAAATCTTAATTACATGTTTGATCAATTTCAACTGAAGTTTTGGTACAATTCTTCAATTTCTTCATGACTAGCTTTTGTGTTTGATGCATAAATTCGAATAATAGGTATAGTGATTGGAATTCCTTGAAGGTGAATATATATAATCTGATCATAGATAAGATTGTACGTCATGATGGATTTAGTACAAGGAATGCCATGCCTCTAGGTTGTGTTATTCCTGTGTAGTAAATAATATGATTTCTTGATTCAAAATGGCCAATACCAGTCCAGTTCAGCTCACTGATGCCTAGGATATTGATTTTTATGTGTTCCATTTAATTTTTGATCACTTCCAATTTTCTTAATCGTACTTCACACATTCTGTTCCATTCACTAGAAGATTTTAGCAGCTGCTTCTCTTTACCTTGAGCTGCACCCCATCCACTCATGAAGACCCCACAGGCTCCTCTCCCACAGGCTTTGCCCGACTCCCCTCAAAGAAACCGTCTCCTCTTCAGTCACACTTGGAGGGCTTGCAGACCCGAGGGCCCATCCTCCTGTAGTATCTCTGATGTTCTCTTTCCTTTGTTTAGGTTTTCAGTGTTTGACAGTGCTTTGAAGTGATACATAAGGTTTTCAGTGACTTTTGCCTCCAGAGTGGGGAACTGCATGGTCTTTTGAAGTTGTTTCTTAGCCTGGAAGCTCCATGGAAACTTGTTTGCTTTGGGTGACCCTGTTGCCATTTGAAATACAGTGATATAGCATCCAGCATCACAGCAACACACAAGCCACCACAGAACAACCAACTGACAGACACATGCGCACGGACCTAGAATTAGAAACCTAAAGGGCAGTTCACACTCAATATAGCTGAAACTGAAAGAACTCAAGGAAAAAAGGCAAGCCTTGTATCGCAATTTTGAAAGATTCTATAAGCAAAATATTGACTGATGCAGGAAGCATCAAGAAGAAAATGATACATAGAGTCATTGTACCAAAAAGAACTCGCTACCAGTTCACCATTTCAGGAGGTAGCATATAAGCAAGAATCAATGGTGCTGAAGGAAGAAGTTCAAACTGAACAGAATGCATCAACCAAAAAGAAGGCCCAAGAATTCACAGAATAGCCACTGAAATGTTTCAGAGGCTGAAGAAGCACTGGAAGCACTCACCAGACTATGTCCGGAAATTTGAAAGACAGCCCCTTGGCCAGCTGACTGGAAAAGATCCATATTTGTGCCCATTCCAAAGAATGGTTCGAACTATAAAATGATATCATTGATATTGAAAACAAGCTAAATTTTCCTAAAGACCATCCAACAATGGTTGCAGCAGTACATTGACAGGGCACTTCTAGGAGTTCA